GTGTCTCTATGTACCACACACCTCATGAGTGCTACACACAGCTGAGTGCTTCATCCATGCCAGAGAGATGAGGAACGAGGAGTTCACGGTGGTCCCCTCTTACCTGCCACGTTGCAACCTTTCCTCTCGCATCCCGTGTGCTAATCTTTCTCTTTGGCCCACAGCAAGGGTTTGAAGGGAAATCCTCTATGAGTTGATGCGTTTTACCTCACTTTGGAGCAAAGGGAGTGCAACTGCTAGTGCTGGGACACAGTGGAGACACAGTGATGCTCCCCAGGGCCAGTAAATGCCTGCCCAACCCATACTGGGATCATACTTGATGTGCGCGGGGTCCTGTCGTTCGTTTTCTGTTCCTACACCCGTGGATAAATCCAGCCTTCAAATCCTGAATGATCGAACACAACTGTGTGCTTTCTTTGGGCTGCTGAGCTTGTCACCAGAAGCCCCTCTCCTCCCCGCCGAGGCAGCGCTTGGTGACAGCCAGCAGTCGGGCTCGGCAGGGATGGACCCTGCAGGCTGAACCCTGTGCCTGGGACGTGTGGGGACGTATTCACCTGCTTCTTTTTTCTTTTTTCTCTCTCACAGAGATAGCAGCTGTTGGGGAGGCTCTGCCTGATATTAGCTCAAGGCATTTCTTCCTAGCACCCAAATATTCCATACAACTCTTTCCTGTGCTCTGTCTGTGGCAGGACTGCTCTCCAAGTGCAATATCATCATCTTTACTTAGGATGGTGGTGTTGTACCAGCATCCTCAGTGGTCCTGGGGTGAGGCCTGAGGGAGGGCTCAGGTATACGCCCAACGGGATGGACACGGTCGAAGCAATCCTCTCCCCGGGACTGCGTGTGCCCCGGATGGGATGAGTGGCCAAACACCTCCAAAAGGCCTGCAGGACAAGGGCTGCAGCTGTCCCGCTGCTCGTGAGAAGCAAGGGGAGGCAGAGCCTGGCTTTTTTGGCCAGCATAGGGCTGGAGGAGCACAAACACCAGGCTTCCCCAAGCTCAAGCCAGGACCTCTAAGAGACATTTATGCCTTGGTCTTTGTCATGATCAACAGACTTTTAATTAGGCCGAATTAACTGAGTGTGATTGAAAGTTCTTGTTAAATGCCAGGCTGATATGTAGGAGCTGAGATTAGCTAGCCACATAGCATCTCTGTGGGAAATCAACAGCTGATAATTTATGTTTGAGTGTCAGTCGTTTGATAGTGTAGCCTTATGAGCACTAGGACAGTGAGGAGGGAAACCAGCCTAGCAGACACAGATGAGTGGTAGCTTAACTCACTAAAAAACATATTTCAAGTGCAGCATAAGGTGATCAGGACCAGATGAATTTTATTGTGCAAGCTCTGTGTCCACTGGGAATAGGCTGTATTGAAATAAACACGTACAAGTTTTCTTCTGGAGAGTCCCTGTAGTGACCTGGTATTGTGCCTAAATTACTTCTTTCCCAAGCAGCTATTCAGTGTATGAATGAATATGGGGGAACATTCATGCTGTAATTCTCCATCTGATACCTAAGCCAGGTGAACAAGGTTAACAATTTTACGTATGCATTTCCAGAAAAATTCATATTAAAAAAAAGGGGGAAAATACTTAAAAAATGAAAACATTTAAAATAAAACATTTCCGTAAAAGCTCTGATAATCGGCTTCCCATGTACTGCCAGGATAAAAAAAATTCTCGCTTTGCTTATCACATCGGGCTCAAGTCAAACTCCCTGGTCAGATGACCTGTAGCCTGATGACAGATTTATGGCTTATCCAAATTTTCCTCTGATAAGGGAAGTACTCTGGGGGACACAACTGGCTAACATGCCCAGACCCTGGGGTGGAGAGGGGCGATAATTTGCCAGAAAAAGGAGCCTAGCTAACAACCAGGCTAATGGGCAAGCGCTCAGCTAGCAACCAGTTGGACCTCAATGGCGGCAGCAGTCAGCTGGGGGTCTGCAGCCTGCCCGCGGGCTGATGAGGCTTCCTTGAAACAGCCGTAGCGACCGGGGTGTGCAGAGGCCCCAGACTTTTGGGTACAAAGATGGCCCTTATTGTTTACCTTGCTTCTCATGCTGTACCATCCTACTTCTTAAACTCTCCTGAAGGCAGGAACTTGTCTGGGGAGGACTTGAGCCAACCTTTTAAAAACTTGCCATTGGTTTGTTCCGCTCCGCTTGGGTGTATCTGTCTGTCTGTGCGTCTCTCTGTCCCCGTACTGTGACAGTAGGAGTACATGAGCTTACTCCTCCTTATTCCAGGTGGTTCCCATCTTTTTGACTGACAGTTTCTTCACTCTTTGTTGATAATGAAGATATTAATGAAGTTCCAAACATGGCTGTCACTGTTACATATGCCATTGCCAGGAGTTACACCATGTGGTGCTGTTACCCTCAGGTTTTCAAATTCTCTCTGTTAGCGTGAAAGGATCATTCAGGTTTTGATGAATCCTAATGTTACTTGTTTTAATGTCATTTCTTTGCAGGGGAATGGTGGCACAGAGCCATGGAATTTACTGTCTGCTTCTGTCATTGTAGTGAGCCAGAATTGCTTGCTAAACCCGGCACTGACAGGGGAGAAAAAAGTAGATTGCCTTTTTGATGTTCTGGGCCCTCTCAGTTCAAGGCCTGGGAGGATAATGTAGAGCAAGCAGGTTGCACTAAGCACATATCTAACCTCCATGTCATGAGGATGTCCTCCAGCGCTAAGCCAACGTCTGGTGTGGCTTAAGGGAAGGATGACCGTACTGGTTGGCAGAAGTTGTATACTCTACCATATCTATTTTGTTGAGAATAGTTTTAATTGCGTATGGTGCGTATGTACTAGCAAACTCTGTTAGCAATGCTTACCATGCTCCAGGGGTTTTGCCATGTGAGGATGGAAGCAAAATGACAATTAGATATTGTCTATCACTAGCAACAGTACAGCAGGTCCTGAATTTGATGTCAGTCGGTGAGAAACCTTGTTTACTGGAAGCTGGCCATGAGTTGCTTGACAGATCTAGCCAAATCCTTGGCAGATCAGAGCTGTTAGACCTGTTGCTCTCTTGTAAGGGTAGAGGCTTCCCAACAGGGTAATTCCTTGACAGTTTATGGAGAACAGCCTTTGAAAGCCTCTTTCTCCTAGGCACGTTCTGCCTCATAAAACCAGATGAGGCTAAAAACTACATAGTATTATCTGTTGTTTTGTTCTGTATAATAGGATTCAGCAATTTAAATCTGCCAATCACAGCTAAAAATGCCAGTGTTTCTTTAGATTTCCTACTTATGTTCCTCCATTAACAAGTTGAACCCCATTAAGTAGCAGCTTTGCCCTCAGTCAGTAACTTGTAGCTTTTAATCTCTAGTTATACTTACATTTTGATAAAATATTACAGGTAGTTTCATGTTTTTAGCTAGCTGTTGACTAATGAGCCGATGCAGTAATACTGTATAGGATCTGCTAACAGAAGGAAGGAGTTTATCCACCATTCTCACTATTGATAAGTTTTCACTATTGTTTTTTAATAAAACGTTCTTTAGACAGGCCAATTCCTATGTGACTCATATGTGGAAAATACCATGGGCTGAAACAATGCATATCAATTAACATCTCTCCTCCACTCCTCCAGTTTTGTTCATACATCTTACACTTTGAGGAATGATTACATGAACATTTTATTAATTTTTGAAACTATTATTATCGTTGCATGTCATTTTACTGACACCTTGAAAATGACCCTTTGACAATTTCCAGAGGTAGCAACAGCATTGTGCTCCTGATCTGGAAAATATTTGTGTGGCATGCAGCAAAATGCAGCTTTTGTGCTCTGATGCAAGTGTGAGATGCCACAAGAGGAGGCAGGTAGTGTACAGCCTTGTCCACAGGCTGAACAGGGCTGTATCTCAAGCATCTCTTTCTCATGAGACCACAGAGCAAAAGAGGGGCAGGCAGTGAGCTGGAGACAAATGTTTCCGAGGATCTCAGCCTTCAACTGTATTGGTCTTGTATTTTTCCATCCACCTTGCCTGCACTGATTTAGTTGTTTCCTCCATTTTGCTCTGTGACTTCATGAACACATCGCATGCTCAGAATACTTTATCCTTACAGAATGAACTGCCTGAGCAACTGGTCCATAAACCTGACTGCAGGTCTAAAACATTTTGGTGAACGCTACCAGATCGACGCACAAGGAGTGTCACTGATGACCATGGTTCGTGGTTAGGGTTAGAGCTAGGGGCTACATCTTCACCTATGTAGCAAATCAAGGCCTGGCAGCTACTCAGCCACTGAGCACTAGCCATTTTAAGCCTGGGCAGGGAGAGCTGTGCAGGCAGCAGTTCCATTTGTTCTCCTCACGCTCAGTGCTGAAAGCACCAGGAAGATGGTCTGTCAGCCATTGTTAGTTACCGGGTAGTTCTTCCTCAGGGTGGATATCTGTCCTTTAGGAGCTGGACTTAGGCAGCGGGATTTATGAGGACACTTTGAATTTGGGCTGTAATTCAATGCGGTTACAACTGTCTCTTTGGGACTTGGGGAGAGCCCATGGAGGAGGATAAAATGTCTCCCAGTAGGAGGCTTCCCGTGAGAAGTCCAAGGCATGACCAAGGCTGGCTCCAGCCAATGCACCGGGGACAACAGTTTTGGAAATATGGGAGTGCTGAAAATGTCTTTTCAAATGGGGCAGAGAACTTAGGGCCCATCCAGACTGCAAGTTGCAGAGAATGACCCCAACACTAAAAATCCCCCAAGAAGTGACTATCTTTTTCTACTGTGTTGGCATGCTGCATTGTGCCTGGGGCCTTGACTGCTGGCTGGAGCCCCTACAAGCTACTGTGATGCTAAGAAATAATATTATCTACAATGGATGTTTCTTAAAATCAGGGACTGTGGCATAAAGCACTGCTGACACATTTATCTGACCTGGATATCATCACTCTGTTATTAAAATGAAATAGAAAACGACTCTGAGAATAACCTGAAAGTAGAGCTAACAAAATGACAATTTATAATGAATGTTGCATTCCTTTAACAGAAAAAACTGCTTAGACAATCTAATGGATGAAGATGAGAAAGACAGGGCAAAGAGGTGAGCGCTTTTTCTTTTATAACTCTCTGTGTATCTTGTGGGGAGCCTGATATTGTTTGTTGCTGCAGAAGCACAACCTGAAAACTGCCATATCACAGATCACTCTTCTCAGCTACCCTGTAAGAACAAAATAACTTCAGCAATTTTCCTGTGGAAAATGTCAAAGAAGCAAAGGCATTGATTGTTTTTTTCATATTACTGCGGAGCCCTAGAACTGCAGAACAAGCAGCAGACTCCTGGTTCTATAATACATCACCGTAGCCTCCAGAGTGTGTAAAACTGGAGGGATTTTTTCTAACTAGAGGCATCTTGCAAAAGAAAAAAAACTTTAACCAGTGATTTTTTTTTTCTTATTGTGATGGTCATTTATTCAGCTGTGCCTGTCTCACAGTAATGAAAACATCCAGCAGTTATCTTCATAACAGAAAAAGGCCATTAAAGTGCTATGTCAACCCTGAACCAGCACAAACATCCATTCACATATACTCTTCTCTCCATGATAAAGTCCCAGTTGATAAGTAGGCAGGAAAATTGTTGTGAACACTTTGTGGGGAGGGAGGAGGGTATGATTTGAGGCAGAAGAAGATTTGTGGCAATAAACTGTAATAATTGTCAAATCTGACTGGCATGTGCAGTGCCACAAAAGCCATTTGCAAGCTTTTTTTTTTTTTCTAGAAGCTTTATCAATACTGCAACGTGCAGCCTAATTGCTTTAGAGGGAGCCATAGGTTGCACACATTTTTTTCCCTTGGTTCTCTCTAATGAGAGTATTTCCAGTCCAGGCACAACTAGTTGATCCAGTTTCATCTCTTTTGATTCCTTCTCCGCTTCTTTCCTCCCTGCAGCCTTTTCTCACTAATATAGGTCAGCACACGCTGCAACCAAGCTCAGTCGCTCTCCTTTGCTCCCTTTTCTAATTTGTGCATGCTCAAGGCCTGCGTTTGATACCAGGAGCAAAGCGATGACCTCCACTTAGGGCTGCGAGGGATATCTGCTAAGGCAAAGGGTCCATCAAGCCCTGAAGCCCCTCCGCTACCATCTCCGGGGGGGGGGCTTCATGCGCATGAGACTTCCCAGAGAGCTGTCGGCGCACAGTACAGAGAGTGCGACTGTGCCAAGCCGTCCTTAAATAACATAGACATCTGTGGACAGGGGAAGAGAGAGATTCGGGGAAGGGATGCCTCATGCTACATTGCGTCACAAAAAGATGCATCTTCAGAGATGGGATATCACAGCTGAAGGTGCCATAGTGAGTGCAGGGCTCTATGAAACGTGAATTTCTGGTGCAAGAAACGTGGAATCAAAGAAATGGAAAGTAGAGGAAGGAAGCCCACGTACAGTTTTCATTACTTCTTCACACAGTTAAGATCTAATTATTTGCAAGATATTTGTAATCTAATTGTCAGAAAATACATGCATGTAGGGTAAAGATAGAATAACATATATCTTCACTATCAATGTCATCACTATCTGGTATCATTTTTTGCTATTTGTTAAGGGAGGGAATTTTGGTGATACTCTGAGGCAGACCTATATCAAGGTGGATAGAAAAAAAGTAACTTTTACAATGAAAAAAGGAAATGGCTTCTTTAAATTTTAATTTAACTACATTTTTCTCTTTATAAATAAACCTAAATTGGAAATTAAGTTTGAAATCATGAGAGGCTATGTAAAGGCCTAAAGTTGCTGTAATATACGAAACCCATTCCAGTTCAATTAAAAATAATCAAAAACTACACGTTTTCACCCAAAGCTTTGAAGAAAGTCAAACCTGGGAGAAGCAATTGGCTAAATGTCTTGCTTGTTTGTTGAAAACTGATGGTTCTCATCTATCATGTGCTGCAGGGGAAACACTGCTTTGCTTTGTTTTATTCAGTCTAAGGCATAGGTCCCTCAAAGATCAGAAACCAAAGAGGGGGCAAGAAAAGCCAGGAAAATTGTTTACTTCTCTCATTTTAAAAGTAAAAGTTTAAAAAGTTTAAAAACTGGTAAGACTGGAACCTTCTGCCTTTAACTCTTTGGGGAGGGATCCAAGCCAGGGCTGGATTTCCCAAGCCAGAAATGTGACCAAACGCGCTCGTATCTACTATCTGCTTCAATGTATTACGGATGTAGCTTGTATTGTACAGACATCCTGCCTCAAGAGCGAGGCACAAGAGCTCGGATCTATCCTGTTTGCCTTTAGGCACCAAGGTTGCGATTTCCTAAGGAAATCAAGACTGGGAAGGGCCAGCATCTAAAGTGGGCCAGCATCGTTAAAGCCTACTAGGGTAGCAATTAAAGCACTTGCCACAAAGGCAGGAGGCCCAGGTCGTGGGCTGTGTGCAGCGTGGACAGAGCCGTGCTTCCTTCTCCCGGGAGGGACCGTCACCACCAAGCCACGGGCAAGGGCAGCCGCTGGGCATGAGGGCCCTCTCTGCTGACCCCAAGACTTCCTACTGCAAGCACGCGCTGGGGAGGAGACTAGACGGAGGCCCAGAAATAGCCAAATTTCTGTAGCTTATTGATTGAAGCAGATTTTTACATGTGAGAGGAACTGTTGCTTGCAGAAGAAAGCAGTTTTTTAACCCAAATAGCCGTTGATATATTACCCGTGCTGGGAAGAGGGGCCACGCTCTCCCAAGGAGAGGCATTTGAAGTCTCACCTCTCGCCAAGGGATTATTATTTAGCCAAGCTGTATAGCACTTCCTTCAGGGTACCAGTTCTTTAGACCCCTGTTCTGCTGCATCTGGCTCTCCTAAGGCCAGATGAGAGAAGACCGACTCCGAAGACCCGAGGCCTAAAATTTAGATGTGGTGGCACCAAGCCTGAAAGCATCTAGGACCTCTTTAAGATCTCCAGCTTCTGAAGACAGAAACAATATAAATTTTTTGGTGCTGGACAAGGCTTACTTTGTTTTATAAATGTATTAGTTTAAAACAACAATCATGCCCTGTGAACTTTTTTCTCTCACCCTCTTTTCTTTTAGTTTGCTTTAACTAATAGAAAATTATTAAGAAATACATTTTTTGCAATTTAATTGAATTCCAAATTCCAACCAAAACCAGCTTGAAGTGAACTATGAGTAAGCATTCAGTAAATTAGAACTACCAATTGCCATTTTTTACTCCACTAAAATATAACTTTAAGACTCTGTATGTTATGCAGTTAGTTGCTTTGATGCTTGTACAGTATATCCCACTGGACAGCAAAAAGAAATACCAAATGTAGTGTAAAATCACAATTCATTGTAAATCAGCGTGGTGAAATGGCTACTGATCAATAAGTAGCAGTCTTTCTATGTGACAATAAATAGCACACGTAATAGATTAAAAATGACTATCTAATGACATTTTACATTGGCAATTTTGATCATGCTGAGTTCAAGCTGTCCTGTATGTTCAGCTGTATTCACTAAAAATCCAAACTCTGTTCGTATTGTGTCTCCTTTCCCTTGAAAAGGCCATATTTTTTTCTGAGTAGTGAGGAGAGAGGAGAACAGGGATGAATAGTATGGAATTAAGACACAGACTGTTTTGGCTTACTGTAAATGATATGCCCTGGCAGTGAAGTAAACAAGGCTAGGGAATAATCTTCTGAGGGAAGTGATGAAAACTGCATTATATAAGACATTTATAACTGGACTGAACACAGCATTTACAGTCGTAGAGTGATAGTTTAGATGACCTAAATGTTTTTTCTCTTTTTTTTCTGTTTTAAGATTTTATTGCAATCATTGATTCAGGTCTTGGTAGAGGTATTTCCACTAGAAGAGTTTTTATATTTCCTTTGTGAATAAAATGTCAAGTGTTAAAAATAGATACTTTATATTTCTGTTGAGACATCTTTGTTTTTGGCAAAGTAACACTTCCCCTATAGAAGGTTGGTGTTTTGTTTTATTTTCAGGAGGATCAAGATTCTTTGAGCCTAAAATGCAGTGAAGATGGAATTATGAGGAAGTAAAATGTTGATGTTCTTTAAGTTCCCCTGAACTGTACAGAAATAGGATAAGGATGGAGCTTTTCACATCTTGTTCTGACAGCCTTTTGCGCTGCAATAAGAACAGGCTGAAATCAGTCAGGCAGTATCCACCCAATCTCTTGTGTTCAAAGCTGTAAAATAATCAAGTGTTGGCTTCTGTCCACTGTACCTCCAAGTGTCGTCAGGGTTGAGAGCAAGACAAACAAAAACTACCTCTCTGTCAGTAGTAACATCCAGAAGCCTCTGTTGCAGTTTCTCTGCTGAAAATGTTTATTGCCATATTGGTCCTCAGGGTAATGTAAATGCTGGGCTAAATTCTGCTCTGATTTTCCACAGTGTGCTGCCACAGCTCCTTATGAATCTTAGCACAGATTTAGAAACTCAGAATGAGAATTGGCCTGTTGGCCTTCCTTTCCTGTCTACGTGTCACCAGATTTTTAGATCTTTTTGTATTTAGAAAAGCAAATCTTGTTTGCTTGAGGACTTTCAGAAGAACAAGCAAATCTTCTGGGTTATATTACTTTTTATTTTCACATGGCTACAGAAGTCTGGGCAATACCCTCCAAGTAGAACAACTGCAGTGTTCAAGGGAACAATTCAGAAAACACTTCCTAGTGCATAGGTTGATTATAATAAAAAAACACTAAAGGGCACTCACTCAAGAGATTATCAGCAGTCTTAATGATAGTATTATGGTGGTGCCCAAAAACCCTAAATGAAGTCAGGTCCTTTCTTCCTGTGAGCTTTCCAAACTCAGTGGCAGAAACAGACTCTCTCTAAGGAGTCTGTAATCTAAACACACTTTCTAAAGACTTTTTAATTCTAAGTGTTCAGAATTTTTGCGGTCAGACGCACCCCTAGAAGAAGAGGGAGCTCCTTCACCCACAGTGGTGATGATGGCCTGATAGTCAGGCTGGCTGAAAAGTGCCCAAAGACAGCAGCAAAAGGGAAGCAGAGTTCAGAGCCCCAGTCTCCCCGCTGGACTCCAAAGGGGGCCCAGAGACAAGAGCGGGAGGTGGGGACAGTCACTTCCTAGTTATCTCTGTAGCTTTGCTGCAGACTGGGGTCGGTCTTCACGTGCTGAAGCACACAGCAAGCTAATTTCCGTGTGTATACATTGCAAAGAGGACGTATATGATGATTTTTCTGCTTAGTCTGCTCGTCTTTTTTTTTCCTCCCCTGTCTATAGGGCTTCGCGTAACAAGTCTGAGAAGAAGAGACGCGATCAGTTCAATGTTCTCATCAAAGAGCTCAGCTCCATGCTTCCAGGCAACACCCGCAAAATGGACAAAACTACTGTGCTGGAAAAAGTCATTGGCTTCCTGCAGAAACACAATGGTAAATTTACCACAGTTTTTCATGCACTAACCAAATGGTAGTACAATATCCTGCTCCCTCAGTGACGATCAAAATGGCTCAAGGGGCCTAAAAGTGCTACCGCAAGGTATTTTTTCTGACTCATAACCTCTAATGAGAAAATATGCAGGCACTGTGTGCTGCCCAGATCCATCTCCTCAGCAGCTCTTTAGTCGAGAACAACTCTCAACCTGTCAGGGAAGGGGACGAATGTCAGGAACGAAGGGAAAGGAGGGCAGCACTGCCCTGCAGTGTACCTGATGAAGAGGGATGCTTTGAACAGAAGGGGATTTGGGCCAGAGAGGAGATTACTTTCCCTCGAAATCTGCAATATTCTGAGCAGAGCAAAGCACTCATCCCAGCTTCTCCACAGGAAATGTCAAGCCCCCTGCTTGCCCCCTGTCAAGCCCCCTGCTCCTCAGTGGACTGTGTAGGACACAGTTTTCCACAGACAGTGGAAAATTCAGACTAGAAGAGACGTCTTTTTTAAAGTGGGCTTTGGCAAATTGCATGCACAGATAGTTGATGTGTTCCACCCAGTTCACACGAGCAGAAGCTGTGTCACATTTGCACAACATGTAGGTGCAGTTGTAAAGTTTGGGCTTGGAAGGCCGGGAGCTTATTTTTAAAACAACACAGCAGTGATAGCTAAGTATTTTTAAAATGTGCCCTTGCTGTAGTAGTGATTTCTGACCCGACTGTTCTAGTCTGGTTGGTCTAGTTTCCAACAGGTGAGAGAAATGTGCACAGCAGGCTCCTTGACACATGGACTTCAGCCAGCAGCTCAAAAAAGACAATTAAAATGCTTCTCCTTTATAAATCAGTCTTATAAATCAGCTGGTTTAGAACAGGGCCTTCTTGTTCTGCTCCTGTACGGAAGAGGCTGAGGGCTTCAGCGAGTGACCGTGGGGAACATCCCTGGTCCCACATGCAGAATGGGCTCTAGTGACTTGAAATACCACATCACCCAGCTCACCTTCATTCGTCTGGCGACCTCCTGCCCATGCTCCCTGGAGAGCTCTGAGTGAAATGGAAAAGAGCATAAAAACTCTTATATCATGACTCCCAACATAATGGAATCACAAGTGTCAAACTTATGGAGGAAATAATTACAGTGATTCTGTTGTTAGAGTGAAATTTCTCTTTAAATGAATTTTTACCATCGACAAGATGATTTCATACAGGAGGGCATGACTAGGACATCTGAAAGTTTGATAATTGAAAGTTTGATAATAAAAGTGACAGTAATAATATATCTTTTTTTAGCTGCCCAAGGCAGAGTAAAGGAGAATGTGACTCTGCTCAGTCATAAAGCCAAGCAAAGAACAATCACACGGGATTTGAATAAGTGTAGACAGGAGTAGATGATAGTCCAAATAATTTACTCAAAAAGACACTTCATTTCTAGAAGAACAATTAAGCAAAAGAAAGCGAACAGCCACAAATCCTTACGCAGTAATTGGGTCAAACTGTGACCGTTTTTGTGCACTTGCTAAAAAAAGCAAATATTTTCTATTTTTAAACCAGATTAGTAGCCACACCATATAATAAAAAGCAACACAGTGTTAAAATGTTGGTTATTTTCAGAGTAGTTTGGAGCTGGTTCGTGTTTCCCTTGCACTTAGTGGGCTAAATCAAGATTTTAGTTATAACAGAGGAGCAGATGAATTTTCACATTTTCTGTTTCATGCACAGTCTCTTTCTTTATAATCCGTGGAATCTGCCAAATCTCAAGTAATTCTTCTAGCCGTTGATGCTTTGCACATAGCATCTTTTCCATGTTATCGATCTGCTGAAAGTATCCTATATTCTGAGACGGCATAATAAAAATCTGATTGAGGCTGGTCTCTCTTTTTCCTTAGTTTCCTTTTGAAAGCTCCATATCAAACTGTCCCAGCTTTGGAGAGCCACTGTGCTATCAGCGACAACTCCCAGCAGTGCAGAAAGCAAGCTGAATAAGCTGTTAGAAGCAAACAGCTGCATCGCCACTAATAAAGCTTGAATGGAGGCTTTGATTTATTTCCAGGAGACAATATGCACAGGCAGTGTTGTAAATTTACTGCCTGTAATATCATTTAGCCATTTTCATTTCTCTGGCCAGTTTTCCTATGTGCTTGGAGAGCATTGGGTGTTACATGCTCTATAAGTGTTAATCAATCGAATTAATTAGCAGGTGGCCCTGAAAGGAAAAGGCAGGCTGCACTCAGCCTCCCGCTCAGTGCAGTGCTGGAATTCAGGAGCCCTTTTAGAGGAGCAGAGTGAACAGCGAGCAAAACCAGCACAAGTCTCTCTACAGCATAAAATTTGTCCCCCGTAACACTGACTGACAAGTTTAGTAATGCATTACTTGGGCAAAGCTAACATGAGTCACTGTTATTTGGAGCAAACGGCTTACCCAAGTGCACCCAGCTATCCTTAGTTTGGCTCCAGGTTTCCCTGCAGTTTTTTAGCCTGGCTCACCTGCACGCGTCCCAGGAGAGCTGGCAGGGAGCTCGCTCCCACCCGCAGGCTGCTGCAGGCCGGGCAGGGGCAGAACGCCGCAAGCGTGTCTCGCAGCAGGGTCATCATCGCAGACTCGGAGCATAGGAGACCGCCTTACAGGGAGGATTTGGGGATGAGATGCCAGCACTCTGCTCCCTCTTCTCCTCTGCCCTGCTTTCTGGAGCTGACAGCGGGAATGGGAGAAGGAGAAGGCAGGTCCAGTGCCAGGCTGGTGAAACACTTGTGTTTTGCTTGCGTTTGGAGGGACGGAGGAAAGCCTGTGCCCTTTGGGGTCACAGCCCTGTGGGGCTCCTCCAAAGGAGCTCTCCTGCCCCTCCCCATTTGGCACAGGGGCAGTGGGCCGAAGTCTAACGCTTTGGCATCCTAATTTTGAAAATTTAGTAAATTGTAACCGCCTCTTTGGCACATGCTAATCCTTGCCTTAATTTTAGTGGCATGCACTTTTATCTTTTGATCAATACTCACCTCAGTAAGGCTGCTTGAAGTCAATGGCTACGTGAATGAAAGCTCCCACTGTAGCCACTTCAAGCTGAGCTGAGGACAACATTTCAGGAATGGGCCCCGTTTAGATATTTGTTGTTCTCTCACTCTGTATGCAAATCTCATGCTTGAAAATCACAATTTTTGAATATAGAGATGATTTCTATCCTTTCACAGCAATTCATGTATAGTCTCGCAAGATACAAGTTTCTGTGAGTTTAAAAACATGTACTGTTCTGTTTGTCTAGAAGTCTCGGCACAGACAGAGATTTCTGAAATTCATCAGGATTGGAAGCCTTCATTCCTCAGCAATGAAGAATTTACCCAGCTGATGTTGGAGGTGAACATGCATATGCGTTTTTTGCTAATTATGTCTAGCAGATGTGGAAATGCCCATGCTTCTAGAATAAAATGTTGTCTGCCATCCCAAAAGAGCAGGTTTCAGATACTCCCGTATCTGGCCATTGAGCAGAGCTGGCTCTGGAACAAGGGGCTAGAGTCCCACATATTCCTTTTCGTCCTTGGAGGGGCAGTACCATTGCACTGTGCTGTCGCAGCCTGATACAGTGCACACAGACTTCCAGGAAATGCAAGCCAGAAGATGTATTCAAATCACAGTTCACCTTTTATTATTACAAACAGAGGTGAGCAAAAGGGAAAGCAGCATTTTTTTCCTCCTGTTCTTGGAACGCATTATCATTACCTAATATCTATGCAAAAGTAGCACCTAAGAAGCTACAGTGTCAGGTCCCTTTAGTGCTAGGTGCTGTATAAGCAGATAAAAACTGACAGCTCCTGCTGATTTCATACAGTTAATACTTCTACTATAGTGATTTTCACAGCCCTCATCAAACACATTTTTATTGTAACAGGGAGCATAGTTATTTTGCAATGATAGTTTTAAAATTACCTTTAAATTATACCATAGGCGCTTTTAACAGTAGCTGGGGTTTGAAGGGAGGTGACTCAATGGCATTTATGCAGGGTTGAGATGAAATGCAAATGAGCTGCTGAAATGCATTTTTCTCTCTTAGTAACAGCTAGAGCCCTGTTTAACAGCAATCTCCTCCAGCACCAAACACGCGGAGGTCACACCTCGGCCCTGCCGCGTCCCTTAAGAGCAGTCCTGCTCTCTTTTGGGGCGCTGGAGTAATGTCTCCGTCGTGGTTCCCGCGCGTAGCATGAGCGTGGCGCGGGATTTGGGCTCCGGCTGTGGGCAGGGAAGGCTGCCGGCAGGAGCGGCCCCCTCGGAGCAGCGCTCAGCACCGCGGGGGTGGCAGGAAGCAGCGGTGCTTCCCTGCGCGCAGGGGCTCTGGGTCTCCCTCTGCCATTTCCCTTCATTGCTATTAGCTGTCTCCTGGTTCGGGGTGAAACGGCTCCGCGTTCACATTTGAGCAGACAACCGCGGATTCTCATTTCAGCGCGCAGGAACTTAACATACGTAACTCCTTCAGCTTGCATTGAAATATTTCCCTCAGATGGCAACAAATTGGCAGATGTCTTGACTGGCTGTGCCTTTGTTGATTCTACTTGTATGCCATATAATTTTAGATGAAAACAGTTGCTTTTAGCTTCCCAGCTTATAAATAAACCACTTGCCACTCTGGTTTTCCATGCCCTTCAAGCTTACACTGGGTTTTGGGGTGCCCCGTTGAGCCAGCTGTTCGTTATTGTCTTCTTTTTTGCCATGCCTCTAATTATATTTCTTTAACATTTGGACAAGATTGCTTAAAATTTTTCCTATTCTGTTATTGAACAATGGGGAGGGGTTTCTTTTAAGTACTGATTCAAAAGAATCAAAGTATATTTGACTGCGGTAATGCTTTGGCATTCCTAAAAATGGCCTTTTCTTACACATGAAAAGATTGTCCTCAAATTACATAAGAACTGATATTAGGATATCTATGTCCATTTATGATTGTTGCAATAGTGAAATCTTTGACAGAGGGTGTGCCATCTTAATATTAGAAGAACTAGTTGCAAGTAAATAAAAATAGCATTATGTATGCATACATTAACTTGATTTTACCACAAAATTCTGATGTGAGTCACTTTATTCAATACCCAATGCAAATTATACAAAGACTTGATTTAAAAAAAAAAAAAACCTTCACCATAGTAACATGCACAATCCAGCTGCCTTGTAAAACCACCGCTCTCTTCTATGGGTTAACAGCTATCATGTTTTTTAGAAAACAGCTTGAATGTACTGTACTAAAGAAAAACATATTCTCTGCACTTAGCTTAACAAAATCAAACTAACTATTGCAGCTGGAGGGTTTTCAGAGATGCTAAACACACACTCGTCTAGTGGGGTATAAGTTATTGACCTGCTTTTCAAAGGATTGTGGCACCAGCAGATTCCCATTGACTTAAATAGTTGTGGGTGCTCAGCGTTCTCTGGAGAAAGGAACATATGTTTGTGCCGTTATTCAGGGCTTTGTGTTTTCCTTTTTAAAAAAAAAAAAAAAAACAATTAGCATTTTCTAGTGCTCTCTGAATGCTTCCTCTTAACAAAGTCAGCGGGGCGGGGATGTTCTGCAGCTCACAGGAGCAGCTGCTAGCCTGCCTTGGAGGGATGCTGGGATTTGCAGTGAGGTGTTGTAGCTCCGCGTCACCCTAATCAGTCTGTTTGCAATACACCTGTCTTCTGCACAGGTATTTCCTCTAGCGCGTCCTCCAATTCTGTTCTGACTCGTTCGTGTTTGCAGTCTTTGCACTGCTCAAATACCGCAGTCAACACCAACTCCAGATCACCAGTAAACTGACAGAAAGGACCCTGCTCCACTCAAAAGGCACTGGAAGTTCACCAGTGACTCCTTAATTTCACTGAGAAGGATTTGATGTGGTCCCTGAGCACCTGGTGTTGACTCTAAATTATTCGGGGGGTTCTGCTCAGGGTAGATGAAATCTTATTTTAAGTCTGGAAATCTAGCTAGATTTAGTTTTGAGCAAGGTGTAGCTCAAAACTTTGCAGCTCATGGTGAGGAGGAAACTAATTTTGAGGGTGAAATTGCTTCTCTGCAGAGGACGGGACTGACAGCCGGCATTCCCCTTCAGTCCCAGGAGTGAAAGGACTTACTGCAAGGTGGGACAGAAGTGAGGCAGAAACTCTGCAGAAGGATGAATTTCTCCTTGAATGAGTAATTTAATACCGTGACCTTTAAAACAAATCACTCAATTAAAACTCAGGCTAAGGATTATTTGATCATTTGCATTGCTTTTACTTACATGAAAGCCCAGTAACATACAACGTTACATTAATACAAACTGAGATTTATGGGTTTTGCAGAGAACTACCATTTTGAGATAGGACTGCATCCTTTCATCGTCCTTTGATATTTACACAGAGCTCAAATGTTCATTTTAATAACTTCCAAGGGATCCAGTCTTAGTCATTTTGCATTATTAAAATGTGTGATTAATTTAAAAACTGAGACATGAAATGTTCCTGTGAGCCCTTTGTTGCTTCAGTAGTAGCTTTCACTAGACTACAAAGAGTGTTGTAAAAGTTAAATCAGACTGTAAAATCAGAGAATTACTGTTCTGCGACTGGAGATAACATTCCTACAACCCGATGACAATATGGTGCTGAAGTAAAATGGTTTTGATCAATATACAATGAGACGTGCTGTTTACACCCCTCTCATCCCTATTAAAGCACTCTCCACTTGTGTATTTTCCCTAGGCATTAGATGGCTTCATTATAGCAGTAACCACAGGTGGAAGCATCATCTACGTGTCTGACAGCATTACACCTCTTCTAGGGCATTTACCGGTGAGTAATTCTGGCGTAAGCTTTTCTACTACGAGTCACTGGCGCACATGAACAACAGCATCCGGTGACTGTGTAAATCACGGTGGACGTAGAATCGGGCCCTGTATTTTTAGAATCAGCCATAAAAGGGTGGAGGGGATATTTTCCTGAAAATGTGGTGATTTTTGCTGGTCGTTGCTGTTGATCAGCTCTGTTCTCTCTGAGTATGATTCACACACTTCAGGTTTTTGTTGCTATGAGGCGTTTTGGCAAAACTCTGCGGGAATACGCTGACCAGAGAGGGACGGGGTGACCTGGCTGATCTTTTCCATCTCTGATTTCTAAGCTAGCAGAGAATAGCCCCAGTGCGCCTGGCAGGCTGGCGCAGAGCTCGCTAAGGGCCTTATTCTGCTCCCACCGCAGTAAAGGAGAAAAACCCCATTGAATTCAGAGGAGCGAGATCGCACCCTGAATTAAATGGTGGCTGCTGCTGAGCTTGTCAGGGCTGCTCCCCGCAGCTAAACTTTTGCTTCTCAAGGCAAATGCACCCTGATCCCGGGTGGCAGTGCTGCAGTTGGTGCTTCATGCTCTGATTTTGGATAACTTATTTATCCGTGGGTTGCTGGGGCTTGCTCTTTGCGATGCTCCTATGTGCCGCTGGGTTGGGCTAGGGGAGCGCTGGAGGGGGACTGCTTTGGACCCTGCTCCTGATGCTAAGGCTGCTCCAGAAGAAATGGTACAATAATTAAGGATTAATCCTCACACTCATTTTTAGTAGCTTGGTCTCAAGTAAACACATACCCAGGAGAAAAAGTAGCTGCCAAAACATTATTGTGCCTTCCACCCTCCATGTACTTGGGAAAACTACAATTATTTTTCCCTTGTTTACATTTTCACCAAATATATGTTATGTTTACCACCTAGCCAAATATATTTCACACATACTACCTTGCTGTAATATGAACAGAAATTATTTTCTTCTGAGGTTTAAAGGACTTGATGAAAGGCAGCAGCTCCTGGTAAAAGCAAGAATATTGCTATGCTACAGTAGATTGAACTAAATCTATCCATTTCAGTTTTCTTTAATCCTCAACAGTTGAGAAACTCAGTAGTTTACTGTTTCCTCACGTTCGATTTAATGTAAAGGCAGAGGGAGCCCTGTCCTGCAGTCTGTTGGGTCTTCATACACTTACTGATTTCCATAGAGTTTCTTTGGCTTTCACGGTTTTGCGGGGTTTATTGCTATCTTTTCTACATATTTAGTGAAAACTTTAGATCTGCTGCTGGAAAGTATCACTTTTCAGGAAACACATATTTCAATCTCTGTCCCTAAAATCTCAAGTCCTGGCTGAATAAAGATGGATTCAGGCTCATAAGTCCTGAGCTGTCCCATCAGAGACTATATTTGTTTTTCCTTCTCAAAGTCATGCTTTGTATTATAATCTTTCATGGTATCCAGTCTGAAATGAGGACAACGATGACCATTATTATTTATTTGCATTGAAGTAACAATGCAGATAGCAGCCCAAGTCAGGGACCAGCTTGCCAAGGCCTAGATGCAGCAGAGGAAGTTCCCACAGATGTTCTCAGGACTGATGAGGTGATTGTGGTTAAAAACTGCCCCATCAACCCACACTCGCAGAGAGGTTGTGTGCATCCCAGAAACTGCAACTAAGCAAGCAATAAAGGCTGCTGTCTGCCCGAGGTGTGCAAATCAGTATGGCCACGGCCAGAGGTCCAACTGCGTGTGCAGTTAGGCAGCATTCTGGGCATTTTAGTCCCAAACTGTCCTTTCAGTATGTCCTTTTAAGTTTTGAAATTGACTGGAGTGCTATCTGAAAAAATGTATGTATGTGGCTTGCTTTCTTCACTTCCAGGAACTACTTGTAAGTTAATTTCAGTCACTGTTTGAGTGACAAAATAGCAATTCTTTCTCTTTTGTGGCTGCAGAAAAAAAAAAAGGCTCTGCAAATCTGCTGCTTTGAGCATTGAACAGAAAGCGTAACCAGGCGGAATGTGGAGCAGGGGTCTCTGAGGGCCTCTATCAAGAAATCTGATGTCTTTTCTTTCATTAAAATCATGAAAGACCTTGGTGCTGGGAACAAATATATGTAATTCTCTTTAAAACACCTTTGCTTGCTTGAAGTTCCATGAAACTTTTCAAAACCTCTGTTGTAATTCTAAATAGTCTATTATTACAAGGTTTAGAAGCTACTCCTAGGGCTGGCTGATGTAAAGAGAGCTTGATTCCATGCTGTAAGACTGAATACCAGTAAAGTTACTCTCGTAAATCTGGTCACAACTCATAGCGTTGTCCAGTCAAATGTTGCATTACATCTTCAAAACTTTGCATGTCTCTGGAGGAGGATCCTCTGTATCCCTTCTTACCTGCTCTGTTCAGGGAAACAATTGAACACAAGACATTAGAGAGACTATTCCCCCCCTGTAGGAGGAGATAGATTTCTCATGGATGTTGCTCCTGCGGGCTCAAGTGGGAGGTGTTTCATTTGCTTACCAACTGGTAGGCGGCAGACACAAGACCATTTGAGATGTTCTCAGCACTGTTCCTGGGGATATTTCCCTCTCACCCAGCTCCAGCCCCGTAGCTGAGGCAGCTTGGCTCGGAGCCAGCCCTCATGAGGTTCCTTGGCGGCCAGCGGCAAGGCAGCCCCGGGTGCGCAGACTTTCCTGCGGGAGGTCTCCCTCTCCCGCTGGGCTCCTGAGGGATCTCAGGGATCCCTGTGCTGCTGCGTTAGGTGCTTTAGTGAAACGTTAGACTGGAAGGATCCAGGACCTAGCACCTCCCAGTGCACACAAGTTTTGTATGTCATATTATAGGGAAGTGCCAGCAGTGTATGGCTGCAGGATGTGCAGATTCATACCACAATATCCAGGGATGAATCCGAGCACACAACAGCAGAGCTGTCTTGGTTTTTGGCTGCTGTGAAGGAAGCCAGTCTCATCTGCATCCCTCTGCCTTCCCGTTCTTCTAGTGACCCTGTTAACCGCTTGCCCTGCTTTTCTTCCCTGCAATAAGGAATTATTCATCATCTTTCCTCCTCCTTCTCCCTCCCAAAAGAGCAGTGAAAAGGTGAGGAAAGAGCTCCAGATTGGAGTACAGCTGTTTTGTTCAAACTGCACAGATATTTGAGCTATGCACCAAACCATCAGAGAACTGGGGGCAGGTTTGCTGTGCACTGTTTTTAGGGCTGACCATCACTCATTTGTGCAAAGGTGTTTCTTTTCCTGTCACAGCTATCAGGGATAAATACTCAGAAGTTTCTGTTAGCAGGTAGGATCCACAGATTTGAAGGTGCAGAGTAGATTCAAAGCTTAGCAGCATAAATATGCTTTAATATAGTTCATCTAACCACTCTGCTCACAGGCACTGTAATTTATCTGCTTTGCCTGCCTCATTCGGCAAAGCTTTTCATGGCTGTGTCTGTCAGTGGGGCAGAACTGCCCCTGCAGAATAATTAGAATAATTAGACAAAGCTGCAAATTGTTCCCCTCCACCTGACGCATCTTTGTCTGTGGTGACCAGATTTTGTCCATCTCTGCTTGTCACCTTTTTGCCATGGCATCAGTTGCCTGCTTTTTGGGTCTGGTACAGAATTAGCTTGTAGTAGGTTGCCTGACATTTCCTACAACTGCGGTGAGACTGGAATATTTGCTGCCTGCTCTGTATTTGAACTGTTGACGTATTTGTGATTGATGGATTGATTCAAGAATATTGAGGTATTCTTGATCTGTACAAGATCAAGAGGTTCTGTTTTGTGTGCTGCTCTACAGGTGGACCTAACTCCTGCAGGAAGCAAGAGTTGTGAAACACATCAAGAAGTATAAATCTTACAGTTTTGTTTGCACTCATAAATCGTACAGTTTTGTTCATACTCATAAAGAAGAGTTGGTATTCCCCAACAGAAAAGATGCAAAACAAGCATTAAATTCTGGATATGGTTCATGACAGAGGCAAAAAATATAAACACCAGGACCTGTATATTGGTAAAATCAGGCAATAGAAGATGCTCGTGGAAGCAGGTGGGCAGGTTGCTCTGAGGCGGGTGTATGCAAAAGGAGAGTCTCTTGCAACTCCTACCGTACACGTAGCGGTGGGCCTCTACAATTAAATAATCTTAATCAGAAAAGACACTGCAGGCTTAATAACGTGTTTTGAATCAGAACTTGGCCAATAGGTACTACGAAAGGTGACGCATCCTCTGGTTCCCGAATAAGCAACATTGAGTTTGAGGAGCTGTGATAGCTCAGATAGGTGAGGATAAGGCTACAGCCTACCATAAGCAGGTCCTTCCAGTCTTTCTACAACTATTGCTGAGTATATGGCAGATTAATGGTATTTATGTGAAACTGGTGGATATACTTATCATTATCTACCATTTCCAGGTAGCAAAGGAATGAGAAGGAAAAATAACTTTTCTAAGGTCTCACCATAAGCCTCCAATAAGACTTGCCACTGCGGTTTCCCATCAGGTGCTCACTCCTGGAGATTTTTCTATCTCTGTATTTCTTCATGTACTCAATATTACATGAACAATCTAATATATTTTGTATGAATATAAACATGATATATGTACATATATATATATAACTCAATCATATGCAGTATCAATAGGATGAATACTAATAAGGTACATACTAAATGAGTCACAAAAATAATTTTCAAGTATTCTCAACATAAAAAATATTCAAGTAACTCACAGAATCACAGAATGGTTTAGGTTGGAAGGGACCTCTGGAGATCATCTAGTGCAACCTCCCTGCTCAAACAGGCTCCTCTAGAACATATTTCCCAGGATCACATCCAGATGGGTTTTGAATATCTCCAGGGAAGGAGACTCCACTACCTCTCTGGGCAGTCTGTGCCAGTGCTCTGTCACTGTCACAGGAAAGAAGTTTTTTCTCAGGTTTAGGTGGAACTTCCTGTGGT